TGGACTGGACCGATATATCCTGGTTTAGGGCGGATCGGACCGATATATCCTGTTTTAGGGCGGATGGACCCGATATATCCTATTTGAGGGCGGATGGACCCGATATGTCCTATTTGAAGGTGGAAAAGCCTGACATGTGGCGTAATGCAAAAAATCCTGGTGCAGTATAGTAGCGAATATCCATGGTGCGGAGAGCTTGATGCAGTGCCTTTATAGAAGTAAATATTCAGGGAGCGGTGCCAATAATTTGGAATCTACATGCTAAAGTTTATTAGTAAATTCCCGCACACAAAGAAAACAATGAGTTTCAAAATATAATTTGCGATAACTCGGCTTGATCGCCACGTTGCACTATATCTCCTGCAAGGCAAATTCGTCAGTAGAGTAGATATTGAAATGTAATGTGTTGTAAAGTAATCTTATGAAAATGACACATTTTGGACGTTTACTTATACAATGTGGCCTAGTCGGCCAAAATGATTTGATAAAAATATAGCTTTATGCCAATGATAATTTTCAACAATAACATGCAATTTATAAATATGCTTTGCAATGATTTATGATAATGATGCATTTCAGTAATGATATTAACAGCATGACCATCTAGGTCGAAATAATTTAATGAGAAGTATGTCAATATGTGCTAATGTGTCCTGTTGAAGGCGGACAAGCCTAAATATCATATTAAAAGTAAACTTGCTTAAAAATCCAATTAAATACAGATAAGCGTAAATACTTAATGCATAAACCTGTTAAAGGCGGACAAGCCTAAATATCATATTAATAGGCAAACATGATTAAAAATTCAATTAAAGGCGGACAAGCCTAAATGTCCTATTGAAGGCGGATCAGCCTAAATATCATAAANATTCTGCTTCTTTTAATATAATTATAGGCAGAATTTACAAACTAAGTTAACACTTTTTAATGCATTACTATGACATATTAAGTCGGGCAACATTTATTTAGAAATAAAAGAATAAACCATTCATGGCCATGTCGCATACACACATATACGAGGCCCAATAGCAGTATCACTATGCACAAGTCTTAAGCCAGCGTGTATTTTACATTCAAGTTGTTACATTTATGCCTATAGCTATATTTTACACCATCTGACAATCAAAGGTTCACAAATTGACATTCTAGGTACAACATGATAGCAAAGTAAGGAGACAATTATTCATATGGATTTATGAAAGCAAATGTAATCCCAAGACATAATTTCAATTCATAAAATTTGGTTTTATAACTCTTTGTTTAAATTAAATTACAACATGCTAAGAGTTATATTTTCTTAAGTGCAAAAAAAAATAGTATCTAGTCCTGAAGAGAGTCTTTAATACATCAGTTTAAATAGTCGTAGCATATGTAACCACATTATGTATAGAGACACGTTTCTTTCTACAACCATAGTCTTCTCAAGTTTTAAGAATATAATAAGATATATGTTTAAGATAGATTTTAGATCACCTATATTTAACTATAATGAACAAGATATCTTTACTGTTAGAATATGCTCCAGACATTATAAATAACATATGAGACTATATACCATCATGTTCATAGAATGGAGATTTCCCTATAGGCAACTTCTAACATGGCATTAAATCCTAGACATGGAATCTGACTCTCTGGTATACGAAACAATGAAATAGACAAAATAAATGTTCTCCTTTGTATCACTCCCATGAAGTAAAGATTACTAAACCTATAGGCATATGTCTAAACCTTCAATGAAAGGGAATCCAAATTCATGGTTTCTACAGTAGGTCTTAAAGCGCATGAAAAACATTGTCTAACTAATGTGATTATTACTGCTGAAAATTGCATAGCTTACTAGTTCTGTCTCATGAACCTTTGCTAAGGGTATAGAAACTAATTATCAAAAACAGATTTACTTTCAAGTTAAGAATAGCTTAGGCATGGAAAGGTTATAAATTTATAATTGCTAACACGATATGCCAAATACCAAAATAGACACTTATCTCTCAACTTCAAGAGAAAAATACGACTGTTTCTTTAGACAAACAAGGATCTCTTAACTTTAACAATGAAGCCTTAGGATATGGTATTGATGCGACAGTAGATTTAGATATATTTTCTACTCAAGAGGATAGTGAAGTATGCTATCATTCATTGATAATAAACTATTAGACCCAAACAGACTGTTAAAGTAAGCTAGGTAATGATATGTCGTTGGTCAAGAACCAACACTACTATACAAACAGAATGATCACATAAGCATTTTTTTTTGTCGTCATTTATCAATCAGTTACATGGAAACAATAGATTTCTATAGTCGCGACATCTAAACGCACAGGAGCAGCGAAGCAGATCAACAATCTTTAAACTACATGACAGAGCATAAATTATTTAAAATAAACAAAAGCAAGTGAAAGAAAGAACACTGACTTGTTTTGGGGCAGTGAACCGAAGCAGGGGATTTCGATCTACCGAACTCCGACCGCGAACTTGCTATTAAACAACGATGAAACAATCAACAAAAATGCAGCACCTCTGTTGTATTTAAAACCAACATAATTGAGAAAAAAAAGAAAAGAAACGATTTTTGTCAAGGAAAAATTATAAGAAAAAAGGGGCGCAATAGCTTTTATGAGGCATCGAGCGGCGGCTAAAAGCCTGAGCTTGAGGGTAAAGGTGGCGGCTCAACCTTCTCCCAAAAATGAGCTCCAAGCTTATATTTATAGATGGGAGTTAGGGTTCTTGGTTTTGGGCAGGATCTGAAATTGATTCAAAATAGACGTTCACCAACGGTTAAAAATCCTTGCTACAAATGGTGACGAAGTGATTCAGGAGACTTTCACAAAAATGAGGAGCACTTTTTCTGGTTCAGGTTGAGGGAAGTCACAATTTTCATCAAAATAGAGATGAAGCCAAATTTGCTTTCTGCTACTACACACAGGGGAACAGAGGGAGAGAGAGAGAAGGATGACTTTCACCAAAATAGATGGACACACTTTGTCTATGGCAGATGAAGTTTGAAAGTTGGATGAGAGAGGTAAGAGGTGGAGAGGCGTATAGGAAAAGAGATGAGAGAGAAAGATAGTGAAACTTTTAGGCAAAAGATAAAAATTGAGACAAAATGCCAAACTTTTCTGAAAAGCAAAGATTTTGTGGGTGAAGGAGATTTGTTCACGTGAAGGGAGAGAAAATTGGTGAAACTTTTTAGATTTGGTCAAAGTTTAGTGTTGGAATTTGAAGAGAAAATTCATTATAATTAAGTGAAAATTTTGAAATCCAAAAAAGAGATATTTTGGTGGAAGAATCTAGAAAATAATTGAGATATGGGCTAATATTTTTTTTTTGGGCTGATTTAAGGATTTACTTGGGTTGTCTTGTTTGGAGTAATTTGGACCGGTAGAATTAGTGGAAAGTATTGGGCTACTAACTAGGCCAAATTTCCTTTCTTCTTTCTAAATTCTTTGGGCTTCTAATAATCAACAATAATATTAATTAAAAAAAAGATAACTAATTTATTATACCTAATCATGATTGCTAATGTTCAAATAAATTAATCGTAAGATACGGCAAGATTTATTAAATAAAATTTCATAATTTTAAAAGTTATTGCAAAAAAAATGTTCTTGCTTAGTGAGATAAAAGAAATAAAAATTCTTCTCGTGAAAGGTAACAGTAAATACGATTAAGGTATGAATGGTAAAGATGACAGCAATATCATTAATAATAATAATAATAATAATAATAATAATAATAATAATAATAATAATAATAATAATAATAGTAGTAGTAGTAGTAGTAGTAGTAGTAGTAGTAGTAGTAGTAGTAGTAGTAGTAGTAGTAGTAGTAGTAGTAGTAACATCAATAAAACTAGCAATCGTGATATTGAGTAAATAATAATAATAATTAAGTCTAGTTTGTGCTAAAATGGTAAAATAAATNTGTTTAATTTTAAAAAAAATATTAATAATTAATTATATAAAGAGAAAAAAATATATTTTTAGAAATAATAATAATAATAATAATAATAATAATAATAATAATAATAATAATAGATATAACTATAATAATTATAACTACAATAGTTTTTATTAATAATAACAAATAGGCATAGTTTGTATTAATATATAGTAAAATAACTATCTTATATTATTAGTGATATTAGAAGCTTAAAGAAATATTTTGGAAGAAAGGAGGGACAAAATTGGATGTCAACAGCTGCCCCTCTTTGACCGGAGATGATGAAAGAGTTTTCGGGCAAAGAAATTGACTTAGTAGCCAATTTTGTCCCGACCATCAAGGTTGGAATGAGACAAAGGGGACTAAAAAAATGATTGCAGTCGAACTCCGGTTTCGAGTTGCCTACATATCTCGGGTTTCACGAGAATCGGGCCATATGTAGTTCAAAACTCATGGTACCCTAGAGTAGGACTCAACTATTGATGCAGATCTTAAAATGCTGCCCCAGTGTCGAATAATAGAGACACTGGGTACCCTGATTGAAAGAAAGATGTTTGGAATACGAATTTAATTATGAATTTTGAGAGTTGAGCCGAGCGGAGTTCGAAGTAGATCCTTGACCTTTGTTGGAGAGTTTGGTATTCCTCCCCAACAAACTGCCCCAGTTCACTGCTAAGATATAGTTCCACGTTGCGCTATATTTCCTGCAAAGCTTAACAATGCTAAAAAAATCTGTTAGGAAATAAGATGCAATATGCCATAAAAGTAATCTTATGAGAATAATATTTAGACGTCAATTCATGAGAAATATTAATTTATTGTGAAAGCATATAAAAACATAATTTTGTGGTGATATATTTTATGATTGCAACGACATAAGAAAATTTAGCTTATGAAAATAAATGCATTCGGCAATGATTTATGAAAGATATGTTTTGGCAATGCTTATGCAAGCAGGACCACTCGGGTCGAAGTAAATTAAATATCCTTTTGGAGAAGGATTAACTTCAATATCCTATTTGAGGGCGGATAGACCCGATATATCCTATTTGAGGGCGGATGGACCCGATATATCCTATTTGAGGGCGGATGGACCCGATATATCCAATTTGAGGGCGGATGGACCCGATATATCCTGTTTTAGGGCGGATGGACCCGATATATCCTGTTTTAGGGCGGATGGACCCGATATATCCTATTTGAGGGCGGATGGACCCGATATGTCCTATTTGAAGGTGGAAAAGCCTGACATGTGGTGCTTGATTTGCAATTACAAAGATTGATGCAGTGCGAAGAACTTGATATGGTGCCCAATTTGTTGTGGTAATTCATGGTGCTATGCAAAAATCCTGGTGCGATGACTTTGTTGTAGCAAATATCCATGGTGCTTGAGAGCTTGATGCAGTGCCTTTATAGAAGTAAATATTCAGGGAGCGGTGCCAATAATTTGGAATCTACATGCTAAAGTTTATTAGTAAATTCCTGCACACAAAGAAAACAATGAGTTTCAAAATATAATTTGCGATAACTCGGCTTGATCGCCACGTTGCACTATATCTCCTGCAAGACAAATTCGTCAGTAGAGTAGATATTGAAATGCAATGTGTTGTAAAGTAATCTTATGAAAATGACACATTTTGGACGTTTACTTATACAATGTGGCCTAGTCGGCCAAAATGATTTGATAAAAATATAGCTTTATGCCAATGATAATTTTCAACAATAACATGCAATTTATAAATATGCTTTGCAATGATTTATGATAATGATGCATTTCAGTAATGATATTAATAGCATGACCATCTAGGACGAAATAATTTAATGAGAAGTATGTGAATATGTGCTAATGTGTCCTGTTGAAGGCGGACAAGCCTAAATATCATATTAAAAGTAAACTTGCTTAAAAATCCAATTAAATACAGATGAGCGTAAATATTTAATGCATAAATATCCTGTTAAAGGCGGACAAGCCTAAATGTCATATTAATAGGCAAACGTGATTAAAAATTCAATTAAAGGCGGACAAGCCTAAATGTCCTATTGAAGGCGGATCAGCCTAAATATCATAAAGGCAAGCATGCTTAGAAAGAATCCAATTAAAGGCGAATAAGCCTAAATATCCTATTTTAGGCGGATGGGCCTAAATATTCAATTAAAGACAAATGTGCATAATTGTCCTATTAAAGGCGGACGAGCCTAAAATATTTAATTAAAGACAAATGTGCATAAATGTCCAATTAAAGGCGGACAAGCTTAAAGATCATAAAGGCAAGCGTGCTTAAATATCCAATTGAAGGCGGATAAACCTAAATATTAATGCATAAATGTCCTGTTGAAGGCGGACAAGCCTAAATATCATATTAAAGGCAAACTTACCTAAAAATCCCATTAAAGGCGGATAAGCCTAAATATCCTATTTAAGGCGGATGAGCCTAAATATTCAATTAAAGATAAATGTGCATAACCGTCCTATTAAAGGCGGACGAGCCTAAATATTTAATTAAAGATAAATGTGCATAAATATCCAATTAAAGGCGGATAAGCCTAAATATTTAATTAAAGGCAAATGCCTAAATATCCTATTAAAGGCGGACAAGCCTAAATATTTAATTAAAGGCGTATAAGCCTAAATTTTAATGCATAAATGTCCTGTTGAAGGCGGACAAGCCTAGATATCATATTAAAGGCAAACTTGCTTAAAAAATCCAATTAAAGGCAGATAAGCGTAAATTTTAATTAAAGGCAAAATGTACCTACACGTTCTATTAAAGGCGGACAGGCCTTAGTGTCCTATTAAAGGCGGACAAGCCTAAATGCGATGCTTGATTTAAAATTACCAGATTGGTGCAGTGCGAAGAGCTTGGCATGGTTATTTCAAAGTAACATATATTGATGGTGCAATACAGAGAGCTTGGTGTAATGATTCTGTAATAGCAAATGGTGCGATGCAGAGAGCTTGATGAAATTTCTTTGTAGTAGTGAATATTCCTGTTACAATGCTAAAAATCATTGGACCTTCATACTGAAGTTTTGCTATTAATAAATTCCTGTACTCAAAGAAAAATTATAAGTTTCAAAGTTTGATTTGCGCTGGCTTGGGTTCATCTTTTTCTTTGCATGAATCTTGAAACTTCTAACTTGATGCTGAGCTTTGCGATAGTGTATAACATTGTTCAAGAATAGCTAAACTATGCCCCTGCATTACTCAAAGAAAATTCATTAGTATAAAAGAAAGTGGTTGCCTTGCATTGAATATCAAAGTTTGGCTTTGAATCTGCAACTTGTTGCTATGGCTCCTGGAACTTGCTATTGCGCTTGTAATAAATATGTATCTCGAGATTTCATTTTCTGCTTTGCCGAATGATGATGATCCTTCTGCAAAATCTGCCCCGATTTTGGCTTTTTTGGGGTAAATAGGATTTTATTATGATGAGACCGAACCCATAAGGCTGCCTACGTATCCCCTCTTAAACGGGAATCAGGTTTAAACGTAGTTCATACAAAAGTTTAGCAAAAGTACATGAAACAGAGTCAATCATGAAAGGGCGGGCAAAATAGTAGTGATGAAAAGCTCTATTCAATCATCTTGTTTAGCTTCACTCTTTCTCTTCAAAGGTCTTGGTGCCGACTTTGAAAGATCACCTTTGACCACGATGGTATTAGCGACTGAATGGTCATAGTTATTGCGTGGTTGCTCTTGCTGCACAATTATCTTGTTGCTTTCAATCATGTTCTGAATCTTATGCTTAAGTGCTGGGCACTCTTCTGTGTCATGGCCTTGAATATATGAATGGTACGCACAAGTTTTAGACCAATCAAAATCTGGAGGAAGATTTTGCGGGATCCATCCTTTCCTTGGCTGTAAAAGTCCTTTCGCTTTCAATCTCTCAAATATGCTTGTCAATGATTCTTTCAGAGGGATAAAAGTGCGAAATTTCAGGTTCTCTGATTGACGATAGCTAGATTATGCTTGATGAGCTGGATGTTGAATGCTTTGCCGAGTAGCTTGGGGTTGTATATGAGTTGTGGATTAGGCTATTTTGTTGAGATTGCGGTTAATAAGCGGGCATGCAAGTCGGATCTATCTTCCTCTTTTTGCCTTGCAAATTCTCGAATGCCTCGCCTTGGGAAGTGGCTTGTAATTTTGAATTGTCAACAATTCTTCCTGCTCGAATGCTCGATTCTATCAGTTTTCCAACTCTGATCAAATCCGAGAAGTCATGTAGCCG